AATATTGATTCTTCCACTCCAGGAGCACGGTATATCTCTCCATCTGTTTGTGTCATCTTAGATTTCTTTCACCAGTGTTTTATAGTTTTCTGCGTACAGGTCTTTTGCCTCCTTAGGTAGGTTTATTCCTAGGTATTTTATTCTTTTTGTTGCAATAGTAAGTGGGACTGTTTCTTTAATTTCTCTTTCAGATTTTTCATCATTAGTGTATAGGAATGCAAGACATTTCTGTGCATTAATTTTGTGTCCTGGAAGGAGAAATTACAACTGACACCACAGAAGTACAAAGGATCATAAGAGACTACTACAAGCAACTATATGCCAATAAAACGGACAAACTGGAAGAAACGGACAAATTCTTGGAAAGGTACAACTTTCCAAGACTGAACCAAGAAGAATTAGAAAATATAAACAGACCAATCACAAGTAATGAAATTGAAACTGTAATTAAAAATCTTCCAACAAACAAAAGTCCAGGACCAGATGGCTTTATAGGCAAATTCTATCAAACATTTAGAGAAGAGTTAACAACTATCCTTCTCAAACTCTTCCAAAAAATTTCAGAGGGAGGAACACTCCCAAACTCGTTCTATGAGGCCACTGTCACCCTATATCTTTTTGAATTATAGTTTTGTTTGGCTATATTCCCAAGAGTGGGATTGCTGGATCATATGGTAATTCTATTTTTAGTTTTCTGAGGAGTGTACATACTGTTTTCCACAGTGGCTGCACCAACTCACATTCTAACCAACAATGTAGGAGAGTTCCCTTTTCTCCACACCCTCTCCAGCATTTGTTATTTGTAGACTTTTTAATGATGGCCCTTCTGACCAGAGTGAGGTGGTACCTCATTGCAGTTTTGATTTGCATTTCTCTAGTAATTAGCCATGTTGAGCATCTTTTTATGTGCCTATTGGCCATTTGTATTTCTCCTTTGGAGAAATGTCTCTCTAGGCCTTCTGCCCATTTTTTGATTGGGTTGTTTGTTTCTTTGTTGTTGAGTTGTTTGCATATTTTGGAAATTAAGCCCTTGTCAGTCGCATCGTTTGCAAATATTTTCTCCCATTCTGTAGGTTGTATTTGCATTTTGTTTATGTTTTCCTTTGCTGTGCAGAAGCTTGTAAGTTTGATTTGGTCCCATTTGTTTATTTTTGTTTTTATTCCTATTGCCTTGGGAGACTGACCTAAGAAAACATTGGTATGATTTATGTCAGAGAATGTTTTGCCTATGTTCTCCTATAGGAGTTTTATGGTGTCATGTCTTATGTTTAAGTCTTTAAGCCATTTTTAGTTTGTTTTTGTGTATGGTGAGAGGGCGTGTTCTAACCTCATTGAGTTACATGCAGCTGTCCGGCTTTCCCAACACCACTTGCTGAAGAGACTCTCTCAAAGACTCCATTTTGAGAAAAAACCCTGAGTGGAAGAGGGCTGAATAGTAGTTGGTAGTAATCCACCCACAGAGTAACTGAGCATCACATGATGTTGACTGATAGAGTTGGGTATGAAGCAGGGTAAGTTGTCAGTGGGGCTGAGAGGTGGTTCTCCAAAGATGAGGATCACTGAATGGGATGAGTAAGTTTCAGAACCAGTACATGATCAACACTACAATCTAACACAGAATCTTTATATTAGAAATCTGCTTTATTCAACACAACAAAAGAAAGCAGAGAGCAGAGAAAAACATTGTAGGGATATAACTGCTGCTGAGAGGGTGGTGTCAATACCATTTAGGGACACTGCATGGGAAGATAACTTATTTGTTCTGTGGGGAACTCCTGAGTCTAGATAGAACGGGCAGGACAGTTAAAGGGAAGATTCCCTGCTCTGCTTTCATGATCTCGAGTGACGGTTTTCAAGGAGGGCATAGGTCATTTTCTTCCTAGAATCATGGTAGACTGATGAAGCTGATAATGAGATGGGAACATCAGTAGGATGTCTACATATGTTCATGACACTGATTGCTGACCTCCTGATAGTGAGTAATGGAGGCTCGGGTGAAGCCAGTATAGACAGAGGAAATGAGGACTTACCACTTCTGCTCTAACTCATAGGCCAAGAGAAGTTGGAGACAGGAGAGAAGCAGCAACCCAAGAAGAGGGCAATGCCGCTGGATGGGGGGTTGAGGCAATGTGGGACCAAGTACCAACAGGAGGACTTCAGTGCTTGTAGTTCTTCCTGCTGGAGGAGGAGGTGGTGGTTTATTTGACGGTGGAACTGCTGTCCCTGGAGGAGCTGAGGCCACCCACTATGGCTCTGCCACTGCCGGAACTGAAGCCACCTCCAACGCTGTGACCACTGCTGTAGGAATAGCCATTGCCTCTGTCCAGGCCTAAGCTACTCCTGATACCACGGACACTGCCATAGCCACTGGAGACGGTAGACTGCATGTGGCCATGGTCTGTCTCAGATCAGTCTCTGGATCATGTGGTTGAGCTCAGCAGTCTCCTGCTTGGTGTTATACATGTCATCCCTTTGTCTACATACCTTGACCTGCAGCTCCTTACACTGTAGTCCAGAAGAATAGAGAAGCAGTGTGCATGGGGGTAGATACAGTGTTTATGGGCTTTCACATGCCAAAAATGGCTTTCAATTCCCAGCCATCTAATAAACTCACACCAAACGGTGCGACATCTCTAGAAATAGTAGATGGCACAAGATTATTTGCTGCTGCACACCTGAATAGTTCTGTATGATCATTGAGCACCTAGTTTTTCAATAAACTAGTGATGTTCTTAGTGATATCTAAGGGATTTCACAATCAGGAAGAGGTTGAAGGCAAAACTCAGTAGGGCAATGTCATTAAACTCTTTTTTCTTTTTATTCAATAGGCCCAATTGTAAATTCTTTAATTGTCTACGTGAACTGAGCAATGACAGACCTCCTATGAAATCATCCAGGGTCTTTGTATTTCAAACTCCACTCAAAAAACTGCGGTAGGCTGGTGCAGCTGAGTGTAACCACCTGGGGCGTGGGCACAGGATTTCTCTCCCGTTGCTGGCAACTGCTCACCTTGGTCTGGTGTAAGGACTTGGCCTCAGCTTGCCTCATTTGAGCAATCTCCCCATATAGGCCTTTGACCTCAGGAATGGTGCTGTCCAGGTCCAGATTATGGTTGTTGTCCGCGGAGAGGACCGCAGAAATGTCTGAGCTGTAGGATTGCATCTGAGAGCACTCCTACCAGATATGGATTGTTAGTACCTCTGCTTCCAGTGATACATCTATGAGATCCAACTCCCAAACATTCCATCCACTCAGACTCTTAAGCAGAAAAATGAACAAACCAATGAACAAACAGGGTAAGGTTCTCTCCATCTCAAAGTAAGAACATAAGTGATCAATTTGATCGTTAAGGGTATTTATCTTGGTGTGCAGTTCAACCTCATTCATGCAGCATCCTCGTCCTGGGAAACGAGGAACAACTCAGAGTCAGCCAACCCCTACTCCCAGCCCACCCAATATCTTCTCCTCCCACGTGTGGGCTCTTCCAGCCTTCAACAAAGGAATGGGGACACCTAATATTGCTAAGCTCACCTTCTTCAGTGTTACAGGTTCATTCGGTGCTGTTGCAGGCTTATTTATTTCTTCTTCATTTCCAGAGAGGGTGCTGAAAGACGCTTGAGCCAGTGAGCAAAGGATTTTGAAAGCCAATGGAAATTTTCATTTCCATTGGATATTTTTCCTAAGCAATGATGCCCTCAAATGGACCTAGTCACTCGGTAGACTTGAAGTGTGGTTTTCAGAAAACTGAGCTCACTTCTCCCCTGTAACTCACTTGTTCTTGAAGTCCTCCACCAGATCCTGCATGTGTCTGAGTTATGAATCCGGGAAGCCACTAAAGAAGAGGAGAGATTCCTTCCACCCCCTGAGGTTGTTGATGTACTGCTCAAACGTAGGCATCAGGGTCAGCCTCATGGGCTTGGATCCCTGCTGCTGAAGGAGGGTCCACTTGGTATCCAGGCCCTTATTCTGCTGCTCCAGGAACCACATCTGCAGGAAGGCAAGAGAGTCGTTTGCTAGACATAGAAAGAAAGGAACAAGTGTCTGTATTACCTGGTTTTCATCACTTCCTCTCTTTCTCTTGAGAAGCAGAATCAAAAATGTAATTTAAAATAGTTTTTACCTGATGTATTATACAAAGCTTTTATTTTCTAAAATAAAAGGGATGTTAAATGTTATCTAATGATTAGATTCTAATCTAAACTCCCATTTAGTGCATATATCTCTTCTAAAACACTCTTGATAGATGGTCATACTCTGTTTCTAGAATAACTTTTTAAAAAAAAAACAAATTATAGGGGCTTCCCTGGTGGCGCAGTGGTTGAGAGTCCGCCTGCCAATGCAGGGGACACGGGTTCGTGCCCTGGTCCGCGAAGATCCCATATGCTGCGGAGTGGCTAGGCACGTGAGCCATGGCCGCTGAACCTGCGCGTCCGGAGACTGTGCTCCGCAACGGGAGAAGCCACAGCAATGAGAGGCCCACGTACCACACACACACACACACACACACACACACACACACAAAACCAACAAATTATAAATATTTGCACATCTCAAATGTTTCTTTTTCTCACCTGGATGGAAAATAATTCCATTTTTATTTTCTTCTCTTTGTTTTTCTTTTTTTTTCTTCCTGCTGGAAAGGTAGGCCAGAACCTCGGAGAAGGTAGTGACTGGCCTTTTCTTTGTATCCCATTGTAGACCCATTAGTGGTAAGTGTTAATCCACTTCATTCTCTCTTTTCCTTTTCTTTGCTTGAGGGTTATCAAGAGTGGAGAATTCTTCCCAGGCAGGAATGAGAGACATTTAAGGGATCAGTAGTTGTAAATGATTTTTATCACCTTCTACCCGTGGCCCACATGGAGCCTGTCCTGCATCCCAGTGGAGAGCTAGCCCGAGTCCCCTCCTCCCTCTCTCCCGAGGCTCCCCCTGGTAGGACATTGGTTGCGTCTCTCGACTGGGGACTCTGAAATCCCAGTGGAGGGCAGGTGCTCCCGGCTCACCTTGTCGATGAAGGAGGCGAACCTGTTGTTGAGGGTCTTGATCTGCTCCCGCTCCTCAGTCTTGACTTGCTGGATGGTGGGGTCGATTTGCAGGTTGAGGGGAGTCAGGAGACTCTGGGTGATGGTGACCTCTTGGATGCCTCCAGGGGGGCATAGAGGGAAGCCAGAGCCCCCATAGCCACCACCAAAGCCAGCTCCACCACCGAGCCCAAAGCCACCACCAGCTCCACTGCCGAAACCAAATCCACTCCCGGCTCCACCTCCAAAGCCAAGGCCGCCTCCAGCTCTGCCGCCATATCCGCCACCGAGGGCACAGCTGCCCCCTCCGAGGGAGATCCTTTTGGAGCCCGCCATGCCATAGAGGCTGCGGCTGCCAAAGCTAGCTCCTCCACCCACTCCAGCGAGGCCACCACTGCCCCTGGAGCAGCACACGGGCATGCTGCTGAAGCCAGAGTGGCCGACCCCAGGGACTCTGGCTGAGCCGGCACTGAAGACACGGCGGCTGCTGCTTTGGCTTCTCACGGTGGATTTGGAAGTCATGGTCCCTGAAGTCGAAGAGGCTGAGGAGGGCGTGAGAGGTGGAGGGTAGAGCTGAGAGGAAAAGTATGAGATAGGTTTCCAGCAGCCAGTGTACAGGGAGGAATGCGCTTGGCTGCAGGTTGGGAAGGACTGGGCTTTACAAACAGTGAGATCATACCTGGGTTATTAGAAAAGATATAAAATATGAAGAATGCTTTTTGGCTTCCTTTAGCCCGGGAGAAATTCTCCTGCCTTTGATCTTTGATTTATATCAATACAACAAGACTATTCTCAATTCACTGAGGCTGGGAGTTAGACTGTCTCAAATAAAGGTTCAATATGGGTTGCTTGTGTATCAGAATGAACGTGCCCATCATCCCAATTTTGCAATTATTATGTCAAAGCCAGATTTATTTCATCCATAATTCCAATCTGATCTTTTGTAACAGCTGAGAACTTAAAAATCTAACAGCAATCTCTTGCTTATGCCCTAATAGAAAGATTACCATTTCCCTAATGATTACAAATATGTTAAATTTGACTTGTTTTTTCTGTATGTAAAAATTTGAACAGATAGAAAAGTATAAGAACAACATAATAGACCCCTATTTGTCTAGTAAGGATGGATACACATCACCCAGATTTTGCAATTATTATCTCAAGGCTGACTTTATTTTATCCATAGCTCCACCTACTTTCTTCATCCACCTTAAGTTATTTGAAAGGAAATTCCAGAAGAAAGGTCATATGATTTCATATTCAATTCAGTATTTATGTCTAAATAACAGACTCTTTAGAAAATGACCAAAATGCTTTTTTTACTTTATTTTATTTTTTTAAACATTTATTTTTATTATTATTATTTTTGGCCACAATGCACGGCATGTGGGATCCTAGCTCTCCCCGACAAAGGATGGAGCCCGAGTCCCCTGCATTGGAAGTGCAGAGTCTCAACCACCAGACTGCCAGGGAAGTCCCCAAAATGCTATTTTTATATCTTAAAAATTTAACAGTAATTCTTTAACATCACTAAGTTTAGTGAACATTCAAATTTCCCTTTATTCTTACTTATTTTTATAATTTGTTTAATTCAGGGTCCAAATAAGGTCCATACATGTTTATTTGGATGATACATCCTTTAAATAATACATCCTTTACATCATTTGGCTTTTCATCTTTTTTGACCATTTATTTGTTAAATAAACTAGGTTAACTGTCCTGTAGAGTTTTCCATTCTTTGGCTTTTGTGATTGCATCCTCTGATGTCATTCCATATGTTACTCTCTCCTCTATATTCCTGTAATCTGGAATCTTAAATCTGGAAGAATAATGAGTTTATTTTCCAGAAGTAGACGTAGTTGAAAGTGTATAAGATTGAGTATTACATTATATACATCCATAAATATATATATTTGCAGAGTGGTTGTATCATTTTCTTTTCTGTTTTGTTTTGGTTTTTGTTTTTTTGCGGTACGCGGGCCTCTCACTGCTGTGGCCTCTCCCGTTGCGGAGCACAGGCTCCGGACTCGCACACCCAGTGGCCATGGCTCACGGGCCCAGCTGCTCTGCGGCATGTGGGATCTTCCCGTACTGGGGCACGAACCCGTGTCCCCTGCATCGGCAGGCGGACGCTCAACCACTGCGCCGCCAGGGAAGCCCTGGTTGCAGCATTTTGAGTTTCCAGCAGCAGTGTATGAGTGTTCTGTTTGCTCCATATTGTTGCCTTGGTATCCTCAATTACTTTGATGTTAGCCATTCTAATAGTATGTGGTTTTATCTCTGTGGGCTTTTAAAATTTAATTTATTTAAACTTAAAAAAAAAACTCACGAAAACAGTTCACCCATTTCTCCCACTCCCATCCCTTCCCCCGCCTCTGGCAACCATCAATCTGATCTCTGTGTCTATGAGCTTAGTTTTTAAATTTTTGAAAATTTGTTTTGTAGATTCCACATATAAGAGACTTTGCAGTACTTGTCTTTCTCTGTCTGACTTATGTCACTTAGCATAATGCCCTAGAGATCCAGCCATGTTGTCACAAGTGGCAAGATTTCATTCTTTATACCCATATACAATATTTACATATTTTAAAAATGCCTAAATTGTGCACATTTGTCTATCAAAATAAATTTCAGGGCAAATCCCCAGCCACCTAATTGAAGCTGTTTCTGTGCTTTGGGGGGGACAATTTGTGTGTATGAGTTTGTGTATGAGTGTGTATACTCCTCCTTTAGGTGTTTCAATTATTCTTGTGTTGAATCTACTTTGTCTTCTTTATCTATATATCCTCTTGACCCTCCTTTAACCCCTCGTTAACTCCCTCTATGACCCCCGATTCTCTTTTCTCGATATTCTCCCATACGCCCTTTGTTGTGCATTCAGCACGTCTATTGTCCTTTGTACTGACATCAACTTGGCCTTCATTTCCCTGCTGGCTTTGTTTTTCTCTCTGCCTCATATCTGACTTCTGTTAGTAATGTTTTATCTCTTATTGTCTCATTATATACTTTTTCTTCTCTAATTTTATAGAGGGTTTGTTTTATTTTGGCAATATTTTATGGTGACTTTGTTCTGATGAGTGATCATTATCTACCTTTTGTTTTTCCTGTTCATTTCATTTTTGAATATGTATTCTCTTTAGTGAGTCCTGGACCAGTTCCTTTCTGACTAGTGCTCATCTTTGAATGAGGTGAACTCCTTCTAGACCAGTCATTTGCAGAAAGTATTCTGGGGACTGAGCTGGGGCCATATTCAGGTTAACAGGCTGTGCGAATAATTCTCTTATTCCTTAAAAACCTTGCCCAACAAATCACTGCAGAGTGACAAATTCACATTCTCTCTGCTTTTTGTCCCTCTTATTAACCAAATGCTGCCAATAGGCCTTGTTTCTGATTTGTTATTCAATGCTACTTCCCAGTTTCTAGAAAGTTCATGACTAATGTGGTCCTGCCTCAGGTCCTACTCCCAGTTCTGACTTGCAAACAAGGGATTCTTGGATTTGCACCTGAGGAGGACCTGTCCTTCACATTGACCTAGTTGTGTTAAATGAGTCAACAGTGCCTGGCATGCAGTAAAACCTCAACTTCAGGCTGCTCCTACAGCTTGTGTTCAGCTACTGTCTTGATGAAGATTTTCTTGTATACCAGGAGCTGAAAAAAGAGCAACAACCAAAAGCCAAAATAACAAACTGAGAACAACCAACTCTCCCTGTGACTGGATACTCCTTCACCACTTAGTGGGGCTTGCTCTGAACCTAGAGATCAGCCCAAGGTTAATGCTTAAGACCTTCTCAAGAATTTTCTGAGCGGGTGTCTTGTCTGGACCTAGGCACAGTTTTCTAAATTCTCTCATATACACAGCGGCACCTGAATGTCCTCATTTCCCAGAGTCTCACTCCAGCTTAGCCTCTAGACCTTAGATGGTCAGAGGGTCTATTGCATATCTTCTCCCGTAGTCTTTTGCCCCAGGCCTCTGTGGGTTTGTAGTCTGCCGTACAGTTTTTACTAACTGTACCTGCTGCTTCTCTTGTCTGCATTTGGATTTATGTGGAACAAAGGTGAGAATCTTGTATTATTTCTTCAGGAATGCCCCAGATGGGTTTGAAGAGACTTGCACAGTAATTTGCAAATAATCTGCCTCTGCTCTCTGGTTCAAGATGCATGTGTTGGGTGGTGGAGGGTGACCAAGAGGAGCAAATGGGTTTGAGAGGGGACTGGAGGGTGGGAGGGGGGTGGGGGAAAGTTCTAGAATAAGGCTGCTGCTTTCTCAAGACCACAACTACACCAGGTATAGGGCAGGGCAAGTGCTAGGAAAATTGTCACATAGCTTTGCTATCGTTTTGAAGGTGGATTTTCTTGATTGGGCATTTGCTTGTTTGCTGTAAACTTTTGAGTGTTTTCCAGAGGTCCTGCAAAGTTTGTTCAGACAGCTTCTGGTTGTTTTTTCAATGTTTCTTTGGCAAAAGGAGAGCTTGGTGGTTTACAGTCTGCCATTTTGCTATCAGCACATGTACCATAAGATTTTAATAAGATAAATCCATGTGTACATATTATTTTGCAACCTGTTTATTATTCATTGATATATTCTATATATTTTTCCTGGTCAGTATTTTCTTTCCATTATTCCTCACGGGTACATAATAATATAAATACTAAGTGGGCTTAGATTTTGGAACCAAATCATCACATACCAGCTGTTGGGGAAGTTCTGGGCAAAGTGAGGAGGTACCAATGTGAGAGGCTGCCCACTTTGCTGGGGGAATGGTTATAGGTGAATACAGCAGAATACTGATACAAAAGGATCCAGATTCACCCTCTTTATATTACTGAATCCAAGAAACTTTCGCTTGTGTTGTAAGAGCCTGGGGGTAAGGGACATACTGGTCACTCATGAGGAAATAGGGAATGGTGTGGACAAAAGGCAGCACTAGTGAATGATGAGCCTTGAACCATATCCTGAGTTTTCATTACCCATTCAGAGAAGTCACAGTAGCCAGAGCACACCAGAGAGATGAAGGATTCAGCTTCATCCATCTCCGCAAGGGTCTTAAGGTGTGTGAGAAGGTAGATATTTCCATTCTCGTTTTGCCTTCACACTTTAAGAAACCAGAATCTGAGTTTGGTGGTGATTTGACCAGCTCTCCTGCTTTTAATTTTCCCTGCTGGGAAGATGGGATTCACATCCATGTACATACTTCTTCCTGCATTTGTAGTATTTCTTCAGAATACTTTTCTAGAAATAGAATTTCAGCTCAGCAGTATATCCACTTTAACTACCCTTGATACACCTTGTCAGGCAAGTTTGTTGGTCATGAAGTTAAGTCTAAATAAAAATCAAACATCTTACTCTCTTGTTAAATGTCATTTTGCTATGTTAGACCAGAAATATCTTTCCCCTACTGGACATTGAGAGTTGATCCCTTGGGCATGGCTGGAGTGATATTAGAGAAGAAGGAAGAGAAACTCAACCATTGCTTCTTGGTATGGGCATTTAAAAGGAGAGTATACAATATGGTGAACCATATTCTTCCCATTACACTTGCCAGACATTTAGATGAAATCTTATCCGTGAAGGAAATCTGAGCATAAGGATGCCAAACTGCTGTTTGTTGAAGTTCTCTAAAGGAGGGGGGTGAAGCACAAGGGGATTGGGAGTATGCTTCATTCCTGAAAAGGCATTTGCCCGATGAAAACCGCAAGAACCATTGGTGACAAAGCAAGGCAATATGAAACCACGCATTATAGTACAAATCTGCTTTATTTAGCAATACAAGTGAGCAAAGAGCAGAGGAAGCATCACAGGGATACAGACCCCCGTACATCATAGAACTAGTCACTTGTGCTTTCATGATCACTGCAAGGGAGGAACACAACACCTGTGAGATGGGACATACTGGGCCAGTGGAAAGCTAGGGGGATTGTCCTGTTCTGGAGTAGGACCCAGACAGGGACCTTCCGATGGTGAGCAGTGGAAGCTCAGATGCAGCAGGTGTGGCAGAGAGGACATGAGGGCACTCAGCAACTTCAGTTCTAACTCAAGGAGTAAGAGAAGAAAGAAGCAGGAGAGAGGAAGCAACTGGAGGAAAGGGCAGTGAAGCCGGAGAGGGAGCCTGAGACGCTGTGGGACCACGAGTCCGTGGCAGGCGTTCAAGGCCTGTAGCTCCTCCTGCCGGAGGATGAGGTGGTGGTGAATTTGACGGTGGAACTGCCGCCCCCGGAGGAGATGAGGCCACCACTTATGGCTCTGCCACTGCCGGAACTGAAGCCACCTCCAACGCTCTGACCACTGCCGTAGGAGTAGCCACTGCCTCCGCCCATGCCGTAGCCACTGCTGCCAGCACCGCCAGCACCGCCAGCACCGCCGTAGCCACTGGAGGCGGTGGACTGTACCACGGCTGGAGAGGCAAGGGGACAAGGCCATGACAAGACATGGTGAGCTCACTCTGCCACACAGAGTCCAGTCAGAAGACACAAGGGCAAGGGAGGGAGGCAAGTGAAGGTACTTACAGATGTTGACTTGTCCAACGCCTTCCCCATACAGCCTAGGAGAGAGGAGACACGGCCATTATGAGACCTGAGAGCCAGAGCTGGACCGGCGTGGGAAGCTTTGGCGTGAGGAGAGCCCATGGGGAACGTGCCTTCTACGTGGTTTTCTGGGAGTGGCATTATGGCCACGACTAGAGTGCCTTCCGGTGGTGCTCACTGGCTGGACACCTTGGAGATGGACCCAGATGTTTGAGGAGGTTGTGTGAGTTACTCACCTGCACTCCTCACCCTCCAGCAGCTTCCTGTAGGTGGCGATCTCCACGTCCAGGGCCAGCTTGACATTCATGAGCTCCTGGTAGTCCTTCAGTAGCTGCGCCATGTCCTGCTTGGCCTTCTGCAGGGCGTTCTCCAGCTCGACCAGCTTGTTCTTGGCATCCCTGAGGGCCAACTCCCCACGCTGCTCTGCATCGGCGATGGCGGATTGCAGGTTGGTGCACTAGAGGGGAAGATGGGCCTATGAACCTGCAATCTGGACTCCTGAGGAGATGAACCATGGTTCTTCTTTCCCAGTGAGGAAGAGCTCTAGAGCCCAGATTCCATGGAAAAGGAGGTTTGATTCTTTTTGTCCAGTCGTTTTCCATTCTGCAAACCTGAACTAGGCTAGGAGCTCCCTATGCGCCTCTGCGTTAACCACCCTAATGAAGATGGAGGTGGTGACTGCTGGAAGATACTACAGCAGACCCAAGACCAGGGGACATTGGAAGAAATGGACCCACTGGCTTCTTCTGAATATTGAGTTTGGGTAAGTGCATGTGGGTGCACACTAACTCACACAAAACCACAGACACCCACAGTGAGGAGATGATCTCACTTTAAACTGTTGTGACCTTGCCTTCCTTCCACTTCACATTTTTGGAAAACCCTCATTTGTCCTGTGTCTTTTCTCAGCTTCTTTTTCACATCAAATCTGAGCATATTTGCAGCACTCTACCTCACACTTTCTGGCCTGACCTTTTCTTTGCCAACTTGTGTCTTGCATTCCCAAATCAATCATTCCTCTTATTGAATCTCACTTCAGTGCCTCAAGACTGTATCTTTGTACCGTCGACCTGTCGGGATTGGTCCTGTCATGCATTTGTTTCCTGCTCTTGGGTTGGGATCCATCTCTCTAAACTGTGGGAACTCACTAAGGGAGGAAGTACATGTCCTCCCCTCCCTGCTGTTCCCTCAGTGCCCAGGAATTCCCTACATGGTGGTTGATGATCCCTGGTGGTCTAGGAAGGAAAGGATGTTTTTCTCCTCCATGGTCCCCACCATACCTGCTTCTTGACGTGGTCGATCTCAGATCTCAGCCTCTGGATCATGCGTTTGATCTCAGAGATCTCCTGTTTGGTGTTGCACAGGTCGTCCCCATATCTGCACGCTGAATTCTGCAGCTCCTCGTACTGTAAACCAGAGGGAGAGAGGATGGTGTTCATGGGCTTCACAGGACACTAATCAAGGTTTTCACAAATCGAAACTAATGGTTTCTCCACAAGGCGTTTTAAGAAAATTGGTGTTACAAGGTCATGGACACTGTACACCCATCACACACCACCCTTGGTAGGACCACTGACTGCCTGGTTCTCTTCAGGACCAGAACATCCTCTGTACTGTTTCTGAGAACCAGCATAAGGGTGAAGCTAAAGCAAAGATCCCTTGGCCTTTATCTATGGTAGCTTTTGTCCTACATTTAGGTTCTTTGACTTACTAGTCAAAGAGCCTTGGACATAAATAATGTAAAGATCTACTCTGTTGGTTCAGGGTACACGTTCTTTGAGAGGTCCCCTGCTTCCTAGATGTAGATTTCCCGAGTGACGTCTCGGGAAGCCTTGCTTGTCTTCAGGGGGGAGGTACAGGGATTCTTCAACAGCTTCCCCCTCACTGCTCACCTTGCTCTTATACCAGGACTCAGCCTCCTCCCGGCTCCTGTGAGCGATCTCTTCATATTGGGCTTTGACTTCAGCGATGATGCTGTCCAGGTCCAGGGTGCGGTTGTTGTCCATGGAGAGGACAACAGAAGTATCTGAGACGTGGGTTTGCACCTGAGCCAGTTCCTGCAGAACATGAGATCGTCAGATCCTCTTTTCCCATGACATTTACAGAGGTACCCAAGCCTAAGATTTTCCATCCTTTGCAAATCTCTTTAGAGTCAATAAAACAGAGTGTGGAAAGATGCTTACTGCTTCATAGAGGGCTCTGAGGAAGTTGATCTCATCTATGAGAGCGTCTGCCTTGGCTTGTAGATCAACCTTACTCATGTAAGCAACATCCACATCCTAGGGAAGAAGCCAAAAACTTGGGATCAGATGAGCCAAGCCCTCCTTCCCAGTCTGCTCCCCCTTTAGTCTCGCTGATTATTCTTTTCTGAGAGTCCTCTCCTTCGGCAAAGAAACATGAACCCCTGATCTTACTCATCTCACCTTCTTTAGATTCACAAATTCATTCTCTGCTGACATGCGCTTGTTGATTTCATCTTCATATCTGGAATTAGAAAGGGTAAAACCTAATTGAGTCAGTGGTGAAGATGATACAGAAAAGGCAGCCTGGGATCCCAACTTCCCACAATGGATATATCCAAATGGAGCTTTCCTGCCAGTAAGCCTAAAAGATGAATTCTGTGGTGCCTAAATTGTTTACATCTTTACTCTCCCCATCCACCTGTATGGCCCTTTTGTTCTTCGGGGTTTGTGTTTAGGCAAGAATTGTGGTTTCATTTCCATGGACACGTTTTACTAAGAATCATGCCCTCATTTGGACCTGGTCATCTAATAGACTTGAAGCGTGGGCTTCAGGAAACTGAGCCCTTTTCTCTCCTGTAACTCACTTCTTCTTGAAGTCCTCTACCGTGTCCTGCATCCCGCTGAGCTCTGAGTCCAGGCGGCTTCTCTCTGAGACAAGGTAGTCCAGCTGTCCCCTGAGATTGTTGATGTACTGCTCAAACAAAGGCTCCAGGCTCTGCCTCACGGTCTTTGTGCCCTGCTCCTGCAGCAGGGCCCACTTGGTTTCCAGGACCTTGTTCTGCTGCTCCAGGAATCGGACCTGGAGAAAGACAAGATGGTTATTTGTCCAACAAAGGAAAGAAGGAAGGAAGGAAGAGAGGTGAGTTGACTGTCCCCAAGCGGATCTGATGGTCCCCAGAGATCTGATGGTCCCCAAGCAGATCTGATGGTGCTGGGCTACTCCAGAGCATGTACAGAGGCTCAGGCTGACAGTTCTGCTCCCCTGACTGTTTTCTTTCACACCACACAGATCTCACTGGCCAAGTTTCCCCAGGGAGCTATCAGATAGTCCCTCTTCTCAATTACGGAGCCTGTCAGTCAGTGACTTTCAACATTTCTTTTCTTCCTCTTGATAAGCACAATCACAAATGTACTTTAAAATAGTATTTCTCTCGTATATTGCACAGAGTTATTTTATAGAGTGTATCTCAGTTAAAGGGATGTCAAATGTTTAGAATCTAATGGTTAAATTCCAACCCTACTGATGATTGGATTTAATCTTCTTTCCCATCTAGTGTATGAGTCCCTCTAAAACAAGCTCCCTTAATGCTCATGATCTGGTTCTACAAGTTAAGTATTTCTATGCACATACACATGTTTCTGAGTCTTTTTTTCCTGTAATTTCCTTTGGTTTTTTATCTTCTTTCCTTCCCCGCCGCCACCCCAGCTAAGGCTCAAGTGCTGTTTCCACTTTAATTCCCTTTTTAATTTCTTAGACCCTTCAGAAGATCAAGCTAACTCGTTCCATTCTCTCAGTTCCTTTCCTTTGCTTGAGGGTTATCAAGAGTGGAGAATTCTTCCCAGACAGGAATGAAGACATTTAAGGGATCAGTAGTTGTAAATGATTTTTATCACCTTCTACCCGTGGCCCACGTGGAGCCTGTCCTGCATCCCAGTGGAGAGCTAGCCCGAGTCCCCTCCTCCCTCTCTCCCGAGGCTCCCCCTGGTAGGACATTGGTTGCGTCTCTCGACTGGGGACTCTGAAATCCCAGTGGAGGGCAGGTGCTCCCGGCTCACCTTGTCGATGAAGGAGGCGAACCTGTTGTTGAGGGTCTTGATCTGCTCCCGCTCCTCAGTCTTGACTTGCTGGATGGTGGGGTCGATTTGCAGGTTGAGGGGAGTCAGGAGACTCTGGTTGATGGTGACCTCTTGGATGCCTCCAGGGGGGCATAGAGGGAAGCCAGAGCCCCCATAGCCACCACCAAAGCCAGCTCCACCACCGAGCCCAAAGCCACCACCAGCTCCACCACCGAGCCCAAAACCACCACCAGCTCCACCACCGAGCCCAAAGCCACCACCAGCTCCACTGCCGAAACCAAATCCACTCCCGGCTCCACCTCCAAAGCCAAGGCCGCCTCCAGCTCTGCCGTCATATCCGCCACCGAAGGCACAGCTGCCCCCTCCGAGGGAGATCCTCTTGGAGCCCCCGATGCCATAGAGGCTGCGGCTGCCAAAGCTAACTCCTCCACCCACTCCAGGGAAGCCACCACTGCCCCTGGAGCGGCACACGGGCATGCTGCTGAAGCCAGAGCGGTTGACCCCAGGGACTCTGGCTGAGCCGGCACTGAAGACACGGCGGCTGCTGCTTTGGCTTCTCACGGTGGATTTGGAAGTCATGCTTCCTGAAGTCGAAGAGGCTGAGGAGGGCGTGAGAGGTGGAGGGTAGAGCTGAGAGGAGCAGATCGGTGAGACGAGGTTCCCAGCAGTGGCTTATATATGGGGAAAATGGGCTGGGCTCAGTGCTGGAAGGTGAGCCTGCAGGTTGGGGAGGCTGTGCTTTACAAATAGTGAGGTCACCCCCAGGCACTATGAAGGTATGAAGTATGAATGTTGCTTCTTTTGCATCCTTTACTCGTGGAGAAATTCTCCTGGCTTCTAGCCTTGACTTGATCACAACACAACAAGTCTGGATGTAAATTCACTGAAGTCATGAGTTAGTCATGTTCTCAAACAAAGGAGACAAGGAGTTGATCTGTGATAATTGTCCCCTCCTTCTGCTTACTCAGACACTGTTCTGTTTGCCCCTTTCCCACACAGTTTTTCTCTTCCACCAGCACCACCCTTCCCATCAAGTTGGACTGCCTCTGAGAGCTAATAGGCATTTGCCCTGTGGCCTGAGCAAGAAGTGGCTTGTGGTGTTTTTCCGCCATGTTTGCACCTATCCTTCTGGAGCTCCTGGATGCTTTTCTGGTGGCCTGGCCTGGGAATGGGGGCTACTTTCGGGACATGACCCTCCTTTGAAGGGCAAGAGGGACAAAGGAGCTGAGTTTTTACAGCATAAGAGCATCTCTATCCTGTGTGGAATTGGCAGTTTCATAATAGGATAAGAGATCTCCCAAGCCCACCCTGCCCAGAGATCTGACTTCTTGTGATTTCTACCCATGCCTGCACCTCCCTCCCTAGTGTTTGTTTTCCCATTGAGCTGATGACCCTGTACATTTTTTTTAACCAAATGAAATTCATAGACACCTTTTTCTCTGGTTTTTTGGAATGTTAACTTAGAGCTTAATTTAAAGAAACTAAAATGGGTAGGACAAAAATCATTAAGGGAATTCACTGCATTTTGATGCCCATAGATTCTGACTTTTCTTAAGAATCAAGAATTATATAACTTAATGTGGTGTGCACAGAAAGTTGAGGGGCATATAGAAGCAGTGAATCATAGAAATGTGCCTTTATAAGTGTGATGATGTCACAAGTAAATTCCAAATTTATATTTCTAATCTCAGTGCTTGAAATCTCAAATCCCCAGACACATTCTTAGAGGGTGGGAAGGCTGTCAAGTGAGCATGGTGTTTGGTTTATGGGGAAAGAGATTCATTTCTTAGTCCATACATTAAGTACTAAGAGGAATATTGAGAGCAATTGTAGGCATGGTGATTTATGAGAATATCTGGTTAATTGACAACCAAGGGAGGAAAGACAAACTCCCCTATTGAGATTAGCCTGAGAAAAGCTCTTTTTACTATTTTATAAGCAATTCAATCTCTCCAGTGTTATGGAGGCACAGCATCCAGGAGAGCAGGGCATTCCCTACCCAAAGGAGTGCTAACTCAGCATCTGGCAGGAAAGAGGTACCTTCTCAAGGCAATGGAAGCAGCTCCCCTTCCTCCGCCCTGGTTGCATAATGCTTTACCAAGAAATGTGATTCCACCCAATTCTGAGAAAGAAGCTTTCCTTTCCATGGCATGGTGCTCTGAGCTACTCTCTTGGGATAGATTCTTTAGACTTGGCATTGATGAGGCCAGGAGGGGAGGAAGGGTTAGCAAGTCAAGTTGGAGCAACATGCATTTGTCCAATGTCCTGTGTCTATGTCAATGTCCCATGTCTGTGTCTGCTTTCACATTGCAATGGCAAAGTTGAGTAATGGTTGCAACAGAAGAGTGTATGACTGGCAAAGCTTAAAAAATTTATTAGATGGCCCTTTAAAGAAAAATGTGCCAACCCCTGGTTAAGAGCAAGGGCTCTGGAGACAGAGTGCTCAGTCTCACAGGCTCCCATGGTCTTTATGCAAATTACTCATTTTTAGAGCTGTAAACTGGGGGATGAAAATAGTACCTATCTCACAGTGATGTGAGGATTACGTGAAATAATTCACGTAAAAGTCTTAGCACTGTGTCTGCGCATAAGTTCTCAATGAAGATGAGCTAATATCATCATTATAATGGAAGTATGAAGAAGCTTGGTGTGTTCAGGGACCCACAAGAAGCTTCAAGAACAGAACACAGGGACAACCTGTATGTGTCTGGGAGGGGTGGGGAGAAAATGCGACCAGTGTTGCAGGTTTGTGCCACATTAGTAAGACCAGAAGCCACAGGTAGAAGTTTGTCCTTGCTCCTGGAGGCCATGCAGAGGCACGAGATCAGAAGTGTGATTTGAAAGCTTGCTGGCACTCAGAGCAGCAGGCAGGGAAGAGCTTTTCTCCAGCAGCAGCTCCTTGCTCAAGGGGCTGGAAGGAAGCGGTGGTCAGAGGAAGGCAGCATCCAAGTCCTAGGAGAGAGCCTGGCAGGCTGCCCTCTCCCTCTTGTGGAGTCAGGTTCTCTGCTGTAACCCTCTTCCGGGTCCTTATCTGTCCTCTGGGCTGTGCACGCGGGGACAGGCTTCTGTCAAACAGCACAGGTGATCAGATCACTTCCTCTTTTGGTACTAATTGTATATCTTTTCCAGGGTGGGAGCAGACTCATCCTCCAATGATGTATATAATTCAATTGCAGCAGGAACCTCACATTCAACCATTTAGCCTATCAGAGGATGATCTCACTTCAACATATTAGCCAATGTGAAATTTGGCATGTGTACCAGATAGCACCAGCAATGTAAAGTATCATGTTTGTTTCATTTCCCGACGCAAGTATTTCTCCTAGAAGTCATTCATATATATATACATATATATATATATATATATACTTTTTTTCCCCCAATATTCCCCATCACCACCTGCCAGGGAATGATGTTCTAGGAACCAATTCCAGGGACCCTGACACTGAGTCATGTCCACTGAGAGGGCTCATGAGAGATGATGAGGGCTCCTGAGAGAGTGGAGGGGGAGTCAGGGAGGAGGGACCCTGTGGCTGATCCATTTCTGTCCACTCTTTTCAAGTCCCACTACCCTTAAAAGGTCAAGGGCAAGTGGTTCATTTGCCCTTGATTTTCTCTATCTTTCTTTGTCTGGGTGTGGGAAGTGTGCCGTGTTCCCTAACCCATTTTTAGACTGCCTCGCTGGACTAAGCTGTACTTCTACCCTCCTCTGGAATGCAGTACTCTGCCCTCTTCCCCTGTTTCAGGGCCCAGGAGAGGGTTATGTTCATAGGCAGTGGGGACCCACTGGATGGTTAGAGAATTGACTTCTCAGATGAAATCTTCCCAGTGATCCTGAATCATGTCCTATGGTGGAGCACAGGGGAGTTATATTTTCCCAGAGGAGAAAGGTGGGGAAGCCAGACCTTCATAATAAGATTAAAACAAAGAATGATAAGCCAGGCAACTATGTGAGAGAAACTGAAGCAAAGCTGCATGAGTAACTCCAGCAACAGCCAGCCTCCTCCTCAGCAGGCTGCCGAACCCAGCCTCTACTCTCTGCTGGGAGAGGCTCCATCTAGGCTGGTGTTGCCTCTCACGGCCATGGAATGAGGAAGGCCTTTGTTCTAGGGCCCAAGGATTAAACCATACTCCTTGCATTTTTCCCAGCATGGAGGAAGGCAGGAGGGATCCCCTGAAGGCTGAGCCCATGGAAAGTCTGCCTCAAGAGGATTTGCCTTGTCTTTCTGTCTCCCTGGATGGAGCTGGCAGATGAGAATGAGGAATAGGCCATTGTCACATTCCGTCAAAAGCTTAAGACTAAATGCCTAACCCTGCAAGCCCCAGAGCAGGATGATGCTGTTCAGAGGGAATCCCACAGACCCAGTCTTGTCCCTGGGGAGCACCCATTGAAAGAGAAACACCTGCAACCACACATGTAAAGGATGGAGACAGTAGCACTGTCACCGACCAGGGTTCTTAGCCTCCTTACTCAATAGAAATTGATCAGAGGTCAGACAAGAAATTCAGGCAAGGCTTTGTTGGGACCCTTACTGCAGCAGTGGGGAGTGAGAACAAGTAACGTATTTCCTTGCTAGCTCAGGAGCGAGCTTGTTCCTTATATAAGGTGAGGGTAGGGGTGTGCCCAGGGGTCGGGCTGGAGGGGTGGCTTAGGTGATTTGGCCACCCCTTTGGTGGTGCTGTGTGCAGGGGGCATGCGCAGCACCCTGCTTTTGCTCCCAGCTCTTCAGAAGTGGCAGTTGGGTTTGTTTGGTCTTTTTGTATCTTGTTGTCCATAATTTGCCCCAACTGCACATATACAGTTATTTTTAGTCCCTTATAAGTTTCTTTGTATTTTGTTGTTCAAGGAGATGTTTGCCCAGGTGCAAGCACTGCAGCAAAGGGTCTCAGGACCCAGGTCCCAGCCTGTCTCAGCACCAAAAGTTGGAGTGGAAAGTGCAGCCATCTATGATATACAGAGTGGTTCAGAAAGTATTGAAACTTTCAAAATTGTATTACTTAGTAACCATGCTGTATATAAACATGTAGTATGCACTAAACAGTAGAGCTTCCCTTGTATTTCTCAATTTTCGCACACAGAGTCCACCCATTTTTGGCAGAGAGCACAGTGATGGGGTCGCATATCTGGATATGATACCTGCGTGGCTTTATTCACAGCTGCAGGTAGTTTCTGACAGCTCTGTCTTCCAGCAGGATGGGGCTCTACCTTAAGTCGATTGTGGGGTCCAGAGGTCATGGAAAGAACACCTTCCACGGGGCTCAGTGAGATGCTCGGTTCAAAGTACTGACCTCTGGAACTACAGTCTGAAGTCCCCAGATGTCACTCCATGTGACTTCTAGGGGATATAAGTCAAGAACCTTGTGTTTGTCCCACGTCTTCCTCATAGCCTGGAGGAGATGAAGGGAAACATTGTGGCTGCCATTTCAACTATCAAAAGTAATATTCAACAAAGGGTCTGGGATGAATTGGTGCAATTTTTAGCCTACAGAATTGAAGCATGTCATGTACCTTGAGGGACAAAAATTGAGTGTTTGTACAGTTATAGAAAAAAAAACCTCTGATTTTTCCCTTCAACTGATTTTGGTACCTCTTCTTATAAAAACTAGTTACTGAGTAATACATGTTTGGAAATGTTCATTTCTTTTTGACTCACCCTGTACATAC